TGTAGACCTTCTTCTTGCGCTTCTTACCACCACCACGCAGGCGGAGGACGAGGTGAAGGGTCGACTCCTTCTGGATGTTGTAGTCCGAAAGAGTGCGGCCATCCTCGAGCTGCTTACCAGCGAAGATCAGACGCTGCTGGTCAGGGGGGATACCCTCCTTGTCTGCAAGGCCTTATTAGTGCTTGTTCCTATGCGACGATGTTCGGAGTTCATGCATACCCTGGATCTTGGACTTGACGTTGTCGATGGTGTCCGAGGACTCCACCTCAAGGGTGATAGTCTTACCCGTAAGGGTCTTGACGAAGATCTGCATCTTTATGAAGGCCTGGGGGAGAGTTAGTTGGTGATTCCAATTTTTGCGCCGTGTGAGGATTCTCAGGTTAACCGCGCAAACAGCGCTGTGTACGCGTGTTGCAAGTGTTGACCTGGAGAAGGATTTGTCCTCAAAGAGCACCAGATATAGGGATATCAAACTCACCTCGACAGACTTGTCTTCCTCAACCTTGCAAGATTGAAGAAATTCTGTGTCGGCGGGACTCGATTAAAATCGTTGTGCGGTCACGTGGGATTAGTGTGTGACAAACCAGACAAACGGGACTAATGTAATACCGACTTCCGAGATTCTGTCAGTCACGTGATGCATATGCTGATGCCTGGAATATCTGGCGGCAAATGACATCGAGCTTGGGTATCGAGAGCGAGGAGCACAAGCCCCAAACCCAGATCATTGGAGTCGATCGGATATTTACTATTGTCTAAACAGGGATGTCCCCATGACGACCATGGTAGGAGGAGTGTCCCTTTGAATGGTGCAAAGACGAGATACCCTTCGATACCTGTTCTCCTCGCAGAACGATTGAGGGCCCTTGCAGAGCCGCCGCGAGAAACCTCAAGGACAGCGACGGGATGTACGGGTAACGATTGCAAAGCAGGGCATCCCATGCAACGCAAGGCCTGGATCGTCGGGCGAAAGAGCATAATCGATCAAGTGGGCGGCTCCTCTGTGGGCCCACCCTCGTCACAGCTGGGCTCCCGCATTGGCGTTGCCATGCCAACATCGGGCTTGTTGTGGTTCCCAGGCACAATGATAGCGCCAAAGCTCAGCTGTGACCCGCCTTCGAGCTCCAGTCTTATTGAGTTTCACTTCTGCTCTTTTCTTTGATACTCTTCTTCAAGGATCTCTGTGACCATACTCTCCAGTCGCAAGAGCCGTGAGCATTTGAAACAAATCAAAACACAAAAACCTTCTAGCTAAGCTATCTTCTCGAGGAGCCTCTAGCGACCTTTCTTTCTCTCTTTTCGCGTTTGTTGCTTTCTTTAGTGACGCTCACAGACTAACACTGTGACCAGGGACCGTATACTCGATCGGCTGGGTAGCCATGATATCCTCAAATCCTACATCGACACACCCCGGTCACCACCGCCGTCAACTCTCGCAGCCCTTTGAAGCCGGACCAGCAACACGCGCTATGTCCGGTGCTCCATCTTATCGCGCGCATCGTCGTGGGCAGACCGTGGACTATGCTGCCCTTGGTCCTCAAGTTGCCTCAGCCAACCGAATCACCCGACGTGCTGCGCCAAAGACAGTCCCAGAGCTGCGGGACTATTTTAACGAAAAATCAGGTTTCTCTCACCAGTCTGCCGCTGCCCACCAGCTTCCAGCACATATGCGCCAAGCTACACAACCTTTCTCGCAAAGCGGTGCTTCCGTACAGAGCTCCTACAACACAATGTCCTATATGCTGAGCGAGGAAGAGCTACAAGCTATGTATGGCGCAGCGACAGCTGATGCTTCGTCCAACACATATGCTCCGGCCCTCTCAAGGTCTGCTAGTGATAACGCAGGAAAGACACCTTCAATGCAGAGCGCCTTGTATCATCTCCAGCAAGAACGCAGCTTCCCAATGACCAAAAGAGATGATGCTTCATTGTATCAGTGGTCGGACCATCAGCCTATTGTTCAACCAAAGGCTATTTCTCCCAAGATGAACCCTTTCCATTCTTGTAAGTGCCATGCATGCATTTAGCATACGCCAGGTTTAGCTAATATTTCGAAAAGACACATCCCCCCTTACCCCCAATGCTACTCCCATGAAGGCCTCGTTTGATTTCCCTATGTACCACAATGACCAAACCCCTACCAAGTCCCAAAGTTTCTCTATTCCCCGAACCCCCGTCAGTGCAGCCATGCAGAGAGCCCAATCCCTGCAGGGCGTACCAGTCTCAAGTCCTCTTCACGCTAAGTATCAGATGGCTTCGCCCGCGGACTCAGTCTCCATCACCTCGTTTACTGAGCTGGCTGCTATGCCCTCTCCAAGCTCCCGTGGTGTGTCACCTCACAGCTTCGACGAAACCGCCACCACGCCATCTACCAGCCAGCACCAACTTGGCAGTTCCCCTGGATCTCCTTTCGAAGACTCCATCCCAGAGCTCCCAGAAGGTGTGGATGAGTATGACCTGGATGCCCGCGTGAAGGCATCAGTACGTGAGACTGGCGTTTCCAATGACCAGATCGCCAAGTACATTTCTGGACCCAATGCCGATGGCAAATGGCAGTGCCTTTATCCAAGCTGCAATTGTGAGTTCGGACGAAAGGAGAATATCAAATCTCATGTGCAGACCCACCTTGACGATCGCCCTTACAAATGCGATGTTTGCGAGAAGGAGTTCGTCCGAGGTCATGACCTGAAACGCCACCTGAAGACCCACACCGGTAACAAGCCTTATATTTGTGCCTGTGGAGCCCGTTTTGCTCGACACGATGCCTTGACCCGCCACCGCCAACGCGACATGTGCGTGGGCGGCATGACTGGCAATATCCCCAAGACCACCCGTCGAGGACGTCCACCAAAGAAGAACCGCCCCGACATGGATACTCGCCAGGCCAAGTCCACTCGCACTCGTCAACGTGCTGCTGATCGAACCATGCCTTCATCGCCAGTTCAATGCGAGGATGCTCTCCAGCAGAACGGTCCTGTTTTCACGTCTCCAAATTACGCTCCATCCAACGCCACATCCGCTTACACCCCGCCAGCTTCTCCTGGTGAAAGTATTGATAACACTGTCTCGTCCCCCACCTCCATTGGACATCAAGTCCCATCCAAGTTCGAAGATGATATGCTCCCCGCGCCGTTGTCCCCTCCTCAGCTTGCCCATGCTCGATATGAACAAGCGATGGCCCAATACAACCCAAACATCCTGATGGATTCCTCGCAGGAGTACCTGTACAGTGACTCGCCGCTCACCCCTCACGACATGTCCTCGCCTCACACCGCCCCAACCCTTGCCGAATCATCAGTTGGATCAGAGATCGATCTGTTCATGACCCAAGATCCCTCTGAGCAGGTCAAGGAGGAATTTGGCACGCTTACTACTCAAAGCTTGGTCGATTTCTCCAACCCGTATTATGTGGATTCTTCCGATTTTCCCACCTCGTCGTTCTACCCCGACCTACCTGGAAAGCCGTTCTCTGGTCTTGACGTCCTTGATGACTCCTACGGGGACCCAATTGACACTCTGTCCAACGAGTTCTTGGTTGACCCTTAAATATCTCTACCACCCACCGACAAACCATGGACAGCCAGCCATATACTTCAATTCGCGCTGTCCATTCGGCCTGCTTTCAACTGTTTCATACTGGCAACGGCGGCGTTTTATTTCCAATCAAAAAGCATAATAGAGGAGCCTCTTGCCTTGCTATCTCCGGCGTGATGACATTTTGCGATGACCTCTTACGAGCTTGTACAACTGACGACAACGATCTTACACGGGAGTTTTCTTTTCTTTTCGGGATGAGCGACAGACTATGTTGCCTCTGCACATTCTATTTTTCACCACGCACATGACATTGCACCTTACTCTGGGTGACGGGAATATGTGACTTTGCACTTGGGGAGTTTCGGCTCATCTTTCAGCCCCTGTTTTAGCCCCTTCATGTATTTTTTCATTCTTGTTTTCACTTTGTTTGTTGACCCCCTTTCCGGGTGGTGGGTTATGACTAGGTGTTTTCTTCTTCAGGCGGTACCTCATTCAGGACTGCTTCCTGGCGTGTCATTTTCTTCCATTTCCCATAATTTCCCCCTTTTACGATTCGATATGTACTTCATGGACTCAATGAAATTACTGTAGCTAGATCATTATGGTTTTTTTTGTAGAGGTTTTTTCCTTTCCGTAGCACCGCCTTGTATGTAAACCAAAATTTCTCCCTCCTATGGCAGATGATAGTGTCCAACCGGCTACATCAATTTTCTACTAGCTACTAACACATTTAGAGGGCCGTGTTATAACTGAGTACTAGTAATATAATGTTTACCTCTCCAGCACTGACTAGTTTATCTACACCAGTACTGACATACTAACGCTAAATAAGTATGTACTTTCTGGCCCTGACTATACTAGTAGCTACTTGAATGCTATGTACACAATACAATGGCCTGTGTCCCAGTAGAACATTGATAATTTTGGGACACTGAAACACTGGTTCGATTGCGGCTATAGAGCACCGTAGACTTCCAAGAAAAAAATTGATGTGGTTGGCTGGGCGCTATCGTCTGCCTTTCTCCGCCAATGTTTTCTTATGCCAGTTCGTAAATCCCTAACTACCCTTTCCCTTCTTATTACTCTCGATCTCCTCGCACACTCACACAAGCAACCGAGCAGCAAAAAAGTATCGACCCGATGAGTACTAGAGGAAAGAATTTGTACCCTTGGGGGCTGTGGTCTTGTGGGTCTGGTGTCTGGGTAACTAGGAACTCAACCTGCGGAACTCGACCTGGCGCCGAGGATTAGAGCACCTTGGAATAAATGATTCCTTCCTTCCTTCCTGGCCTCTGGGGATAGAAATTTCAAAATCAAAAGATGACAATTGTATCAATGCAATTCATCGAATTCCTACGGTCTCCAAATCTAAGAAAAAAAATGTCTAGCACAATGATGAGAACTTCTGGTCGGAGATACATGGTCCCGAATGCTGCAAGAATGAATAAACATAGCTGCTTCTCCTACTGGGATTTCCAGGTGATTTCAAGCTCCACGGGGTGTTCTTCCTGGGACGCGTAAACCGAGCTCTGCACTTGGCCCTTGGGAGGCTTGTCGGCGAAGAAGGTGGTATTTCCCTGATAGGAGAGCTTTCCATCTTTGGCCTATTTCAAGTACTACAGTTAGTAAATAGTACACTGGAAACAAACAAAAAACCTTCGCAACATACCGAAAATTCGCTTGGGACCTTTACATTAGGTCCACAGCTCAAAGTATCGTCTTCGAAGGTACAGAGGCCCTTCCTGGATTTCAGAGAGAAAGTATCATCTAGGGTTCATGTCAGCTTCCAAATATCGGCATTGGATTGTTTGCGACTCGGACACACACCTGATAACTTCTCTGTTCGGAACGTGGCACAAGTTCCAGCGTTATACCAAGTTCCATAGCTGATGATGCATCCACGCTGTTGGTTAAATGTTGAGACCATCAGGTTTCCCCTGCCTGCGAATGGAGCTCCTGGCGCAGTTGGCTCTGAACCGCGGGTGGTTGTCCTGGTCGGCTCGGGCGAATTCCCTTTGGGAGGATATTTAATATGTGTAGCGGGGCAACGCGAGTGTTGACCATCTGTACAAGATTAAATTCTGGTTTATATTGAGCAGAAAAGCGACATCGGGTTCAACAAACCTGGAGGAGCAGGAACAAATTCACCACTCTGAAGGCTACCTGCAATATTGAAGAAGTACCAAATTTCGCTAATTGCACCCGAGCGGCAGTTCACAATCACTGGAGCGCCATGGGCTTTCTCAAGAGCATCTTCAATATCTGCGCGTGCATATGTCTCTGTATGGGAAGGCACTATGCCGGCTTTGGCAAGAAACTATACGCAAGTTAGTAATTTGAACATAGAAATCAGTCATTCTCATCTCGAAAAACTAACATCAAAAGTCGGGAGTTCCTTGAATAAATCAACAGTCCTGTCAAAATAATCCACCACATCTTGCTGCGGGGTATAGTCTCCGTAGCAATGGGGTTCGAGAGTGCTAACACAGGTACCGTGTTTGTTCCATTCATGTTGCCAAAGGTTAGCATCATCTCCACGGAAATCTTTCCAATATTCGCTCATGTATTCAAGCAAGTCCCCATGACCTGAGTCGACTAGTATAAGGGAAATGTTACTGTACTGGCGCTTGCGATCGCAAAACTGGTCAAAGCCACCATTGCAATGATCAGGCCTTTATTAGATTAGTCATGATGAGAATACCTTCTGTTCTCTAATGAAGATGCGTACCAAAGTCCATGGATGGTCCAGGAGTTATCAGGCCCAACCGGGGGATCGACATCCCAGAATTGGGTCTGCAACATTTGACCGCCTGGATAATTAAAACAGCAGGTGTCTTGGCCATGGTATTTGGTTTGACAGCTTATCTCTGATGTAGGGCACGATGGTGTCTTTGGCATTGTGTTCTCACTCGGAGGGGATGTAGATAGCCATAATGATCCTAATGTCTTGAGGATCTTTTGAGGACCGGGGATACCCAGGACCTGTTGGGTTGACTCCCACATGGTGATAGGCTGGCTTTTCCTTTATGAGATTTCGTCAGAAGTATTCAAGATCGGATTATTGTCAGTAGAATTATTATCTGGGTATGTCGAAAAATAGAAGGAGGAATTAAGGGTAAATGCAGATGAAAGTAAAACAAGTTGGGGTTGGGGTTGGGGTTGTCGTTGTCGTCGCCCCCATTGTCAGATGACTAAGACGATCATGCCCCCTCAAATCTCCACCCTTCCGTATTGGGAAAGGATCATTCACTGCTGAGGTTGCCTTGTGCTTTGATATATCCAGCTTCCAGCACATTGATCGCAGTAGTCAGCTACTACTACTTGTAATATTCGCTGTTAAACGAAATACAAACAGAATATCATCATCAGCAGGCCATATCAAGGGCGACCTGTAGAACCCTACTCGTCGAACCTTATCTCAATGCTTATCGACCAGGATACCGGCAGGGGGGGCTCCCACCTTCAGGGTTAGGGTCTATACTCTTGATAACCCTGATTGTTTGCGATTATACTGTCATATAAAATAAAAAGGGGCATTCCTTTTCTAGGCGCTGAAAGTAATATCGCTCCCATTGTCGACGAGGTGTCGTCAGGGTATGCAATATGGACAGGGGTTGGCTCCTATGGTTTCATGTAAGGGGCGGCTACCTGCAGCTACAACGCACGATCCTTCATCATGAGCTCCTTCCAATACATCATGGGAGCGAGTAAGAGCACACCTTGAGGGCTGTTTCAATACTACGTCGTCTGAATGATTTCGGGTCCTTGGTAACACAGTCGATTAATTCATATCTCGTATCTTCGGGTCGCAGGGAAAATTGTCGGCCACACCAACGAATTACTTTGAATGGGGACCGTGATACAAATGTGTTCTCGGGTGCTTAATCCTATGATGCAGAACTTACTGGTTCTACTGTCGATAGAGAGAGGGTGGCTGGCGTATGAATCGGAAGTAGGTTGGATTTCTCCCAACTTTAATATTAAGTACTATTATACTAGTTCATACTATCAAAAAGAGCTTGAAGTGCTCGATAACCTGAATGTTTTGGCCGTTCCTGTTCTGATTTATCTTATGTCCAAGCATGGCTACCGGGGTATAAATCCGCTCAAAATGAATGCTAAGATATGATCTCCATCATCAAATTGAAACCCGAGCTATCAATACCAAAATAAACCTAAACTACAACTTGAAGGCTTTACTTGTCTTACGCCAACATGGCACCCCCGGTCATTCTGGGGAAGGAAATTGAAAATAACTTTATGGGTACTGTATTCCATTTCTATTTTTTCGAGGCAAAATAATGAGCATGGGATTCGGCCCAGAAAGGCCTCGAGCTTGCGAGAAAGAAAAGGGAGATCAACTGACGCCCTTCGGACATACCCAGTCAAAAATCAGACAGAAGGTTGAACGACATAAATAAATGTTTCAACACCAGCGGGATATCTTTTGCTATAAATTCGACGAATGAAGAGTATGTTGGACAACTTGAATGGTAAGGGTGGCTAAATGGGGCGTTTGCTGAAATGGCGACTTACAATCCACGATGGAAATTGGTCCGGTAGAGGAAAGATGATAGTGAGAGGGGTATCTATTTGTTCTGCCATATCGTGAATATAGAATAGGTCGTATATGGCATGTAAATCGCCTTAGATGGTCGTCGTATTCTTCTTCCGAGACGCTTCTTCTTGTTCATGCACCCGCTCTTTCCACAGTCGCAAGACCTCAAATCCCACCTCGACGGCAATGAGCAGGATAATGATCCATTCAAGTCGAAGACCATGAGTCTCACTGAGTCGCTCACGGAGAACGCTCGCAATCTCCTGTGCATAATCCATCTTTTCGTTCAAAAGTTTGATACGGATACCCACATCCAATGCTCTGCCCACCTGTTCATAGTATCCCTCCAAGCCGAGCTCATGCCGGCTGTCCCAAAATATATCCGGGAGTGAGTCTGTAAGTTCCGAGTAAAGATTAAGCTGGGCACGCACACTAAGCAATTGCCCAGTTTTTCGCAGAATAAAGTCTCTCGTGTATGGCAAGCGAGAACCCTTTGAGAGGAGAGTTGGGATGGTGCGAGTTGACTCGAAATAATTGGACAACAGACTTTCGAGCACTGCGAGTTTTGTGCTCCGGGCCAGTCCCGATGAAAATGCGACCTTTGTTAAGACGGTATCAATCGATTGTTGGACCGCAAGGGGTGCTTCTAACCCTTCGTTTCCAGAGTTAGTTCCCAAGATGATTGTATCTCCCTTGATGCTACTGTTATCTCGTTTTGAATCTTCAACAAACTCCAGATCTTCAGTTTCAATGTCATCCACATGAGCTCCTTCCGATGCCGGGAGGAGGGTTCTCGTCGCCAGGAACGAACTAAATCCTTCGGGCAGCGCCCATGCGACTACCGTGCCAGATGGAAACACAAATATATCGCCGACTTGATCAGAGGGTAGGTCTGTGGTGGATGGATTTGCGACACGCCGTATGGAGTCGATCGGTATTTGCACATGAACAACTTGTGGGAAGAGCCCAGTTCCTAGCGGATCCGGCTCATATCCCTTCTCCTGCAAGATGTCTCGGACTTTGCGTATATTGAATTGTTCTGCTACGGCGTAGGCTGTAACTATCTATATTCGTAGAAAGGTCAGCGGGGGTCTTATCTTGGTTTGTTTGTGAGGGTAACCTTAGTCTGATCGATGCCCTGCTCCTTGAGCTGGGCCTTGGAGAGAAATCCATCTCTCGATCTTTGTGCCTCCACAGCCACTCGTCGCAAGGAAGTAGGAGCTGCCGGTGCTCTCGCACTGCGCCTCCGTTGTTTTTGGAGCTCTAGGTTCTCAAGGGATTCGTCGTTCGTATTGGATTGCTTTTGCGCCAATTGAGCATTAGAGGTGAAGAAGTCTCTCCGACGGGGGAGAGCCAATGCCGGCGAGGCGTGAAGACATTGATTCTGCGTTTGTCGCAAGAGCTGCGGTATCACTGGACGCCTGCAGGCCGAGAAGATGGTCGATCTCGTAAACATGGTGAGGTGTAAATCGGAAAAGCGCGATGACATCCGTTGCTTCTTCACAGAAGCATCCCGCTTAGTCAGAGCTCCACTCCGACCCCAGCTCCCAGCTGCATGCCGCTCGCCGGGCAGCAATCCAGCCTCCGCTGCTCGTCGCAACTCGATTTAACCCGCCTGGGAGCTCTGCGCGCTACGAGGGATTCGTCATGGACGCGCCTGGCGCAAGGGCGAATGAGGATGCCGTCAAGAGCACCTCGGAGCGCGATGCATCTACGGCGAGAAGCCTATCCCCCTCCGACACAACTCAAGACGACCACGAACAGCGTCAACAAAGCGGTGAAAGCAGTGATGGTGAATCCGAAGATAGCGATCGAATAGTGGAGGAGGAGGAGGAAGAAGAAGAAGAAGAAGAAGAAGAGAGGATGACGAACCCCGACTCAAATATGCATATCTTACCAAGCACCTTGGATCGGTATATCGCAACGGGGACGCAACCAGTACATTTCTTGTGGCAGGCGACAAGATGGTGCGTCTCCAACTCTGTCTACTAATTCCCAGTCCTTCTTCTTCTTGACTGACATTCGACGTCCAGATCGTCGGAACTCACAATGGAGTCATTGTAAGTGAACCGTGCTACTACTATTACTTCTCGCGGGACTCGACTGACTTGGACCAGCATGTTCTTTTGTTGCCCCTTTTACAGCCTCTTCGTGTATACCAAGCGCATTCAGCAAGCGTTACTTCCATTTCCATATCGCCATTCCCACCACCGTTGTCGAACCTTAAGCCCGAGGACGCCGGCAAACAAACCGCAGACGACCACGGACCTTTAACGCGAACATCAACCAGCTCCGGCAGCATTCGAGGTCATCCACGGCCGAATCACAATGGTTCAATTCCAGCTACCCCTTCTAATTCCATATATATCGCGTCTGCATCCATAGATGGAAATGTGTGCATATCGTCTTTAGTCGACCCCAAGGATATTCTGAAAAGGAACTTCGGTCGGCCTGTCCAGGCCGTCGCCCTCTCCCCCGGATACAAAACTGACAGAACATTCATTTCAGGAGGGCGAGCTGGCGAGCTCGTTCTGACAGCCGGGGGTCGGATCGGGGTTAGCTCAAATGCCACCACAATGGGAGGGGCAACAGCTGCAGCGTCAAGTTGGCTTGGGTCGATGGGCCTGGGCGCCAATAGTGGTAAAGATACTGTACTACACAGTGGCGAAGGCACTATTAGTACCGTTCGGTGGTCTCTCTCAGGGAAATATGTCGCCTGGGTGAACGAAGAGGGCATTAAAATCATGCGATCGAACTTGCATCTCGAGTCCTCCGAGCATGAATTCGCATGGAAGCGAATTAGTCACATCGATCGCCCGAATCGACCAGGTTGGGAGGAAATGGCCAGCGTTTGGAAAGCGCGTGCGGAATGGATTGATCAGTCTGCCTTGGACAATGATAATACTCTCGACCCCAGCGATGCAACAAACCGACAAAACTCCTCATCAAATCCTGTATCTGAGAATTTTGAGAAGTTAGTCGTTGGCTGGGGAGGCAGTGTGTGGGTCATCGATGTATTCCCAGACCGTGCGAACAAATCCTCAAAAGGCGAGAAATATGGTTCCGCCGAAGTGGCTACAATGTAAGCCAGGCCATGTACTTTTTGATTTGCATAGGCTGGATGCTGACTTCAGATACAGATTGCGAACAGACTGTGTAGTTTCTGGCCTTTCGATGTACTCACCTCGTCTTCTTGTCGTTCTTGCATTTATTGAGATTGAAGATGGATCACCCGACTCTAACCGTCGAGGTTCTGGCCGTGGCCATCGCCAGAAGGGGCTGGAGCCCGAACTTCGTATCATCGATATTGAAACCAAGGAGGAGCTCAGCGCTGACACACTATCTGTCAGTCGTTTCGAAGGGTTGGCTTCGTCAGACTATCATCTGAGCGTCCTGCCTCCATGGAAAACTCCGGAGGGGCAAGCGGTCCAACGAGGGGCTCTTGGAGCTCTTGGCCATGGTCTTCTGGATGCCACTATGTATTCAGCTCGTTTGTTCAGCTCTGGTGCTAGTATCCGCAGTACTACAAGCAGCGGCGACAAGATCTCTGGTAGAGGCCCTCCATCTTTCATCTCCAGAAACCTTTCTGGCGAAGAACCTTTATCCAAAGAAGTCCAAGATGTCTCAGGAGCATCAGGCGCCAAGATATTCATACATAGCCCGTTTGATTGTGTTGTTGCCGTCAAAAGAGATCTTTCAGACCGAATCTCTTGGCTCGACTCCCACGGCAGATTTGAAGAAGCATGGAATCTCGTTGATGAGAATCCCGAAGCGGCGAATTCATCTCTTGAGCTACCAGAAATCATCTCTGGGTCTGTGCAATCTCAGAGCAGCCTAGGCGAATTCTTTTCTGACGACCGATCATCCGTTATGACCGCTGGTGGGGCAAATATTTCTGCTGCTGACCGAGAGAAAGCCCGACTTGGTGAACGCTGGGTTGAACAGCTCGTTAGCGAAGAGAAATGGGGTGAAGCTTCAGAGATCTGCGGCAAAGTGCTAAAGAATTCCTCCCGGTGGGAGCACTGGGCATGGGTATTCATCAAGAAGAACCGAGTTGATGAGATCACTACACATATTCCAGTCGACTTACACCCTTCGCTTTCAACTTCGATTTACGAGTTCATTCTCAAACACTACATTTCGCGAGACCTTAACCGGTTTAAGGAACTGGTTGATACCTGGCCTTCAGATATATTTGACCCTAACGATATAACCTCTGCGATCCAGGTTCAGCTTAAGTCAGACTCTATAAGAGTCGAGTCCGAGGAATGGCGTATTTTGACTGATTGCTTGGCTAAGCTCTTCCTGGTGGGAGGCCACTATCGTGAAGCTCTACATTGTTACATCCGTTTGCAGGATGCAGATGCAGCTATGTCTTTGGTTCTAGAGCATCGATTGGTAGATGCTGTATCTGATGACATCCCGGCCTTCGTCAAGCTCCGTGTCTCTAAAGAACAATTGAGGTCCCCGTCAACCCCAATATCTCAGCTGGAAGAGTTAACCGCGGAACCGATTCAACTCCTTGCTAGTGAAGCCTATACTGGCATTGTACCACCCAACGAGGTGGTATCGCAGCTGCAGTCTTCGAATCGTCTTTTATTGTATTTCTATCTTCGTGCACTATGGCGTGGCGAGTCGCTCCCACATGAGGCTTCTAAGCCTCGACGGGGTCGTGGAGCTAATGCGCGTGATGCTGCCAGCAAATTGGCTGCCGATGAAGGAAAAGCACTAATTGATAACTTCTCCGACACGGCTGTCGAAGTTTTTGCAGGCTATGATCGACCTCTTCTCATGGAATTTCTGCAAACCAGCATCTCCTACAACTTCGAGGGTGCTATTTCGATATGCATGGATTCACACTTTACCGCCGAACTGATATATCTGTATTCAAAGACGGGCCAGACAAAGCGAGCCTTGAATCTGATCTTGTCGGACTTGAAAGATGTGTCACAAGCGATCTCCTTTGCGAAATCGCAAGATGATCCTGATCTCTGGGAAGATCTTCTCGATTATTCGATGGACAAACCGAAGTTCATCCACGGACTGCTTGTCGAAGCGGGAACATCAATTGACCCTATCAAACTTGTTCGTCGTATCCCAAGTGGGCTTGAGATCGAGGGTTTGCGTGATGGCCTTACTCGATTGATCCGAGAACATGATTTGCAGGACAGTATCAGCCAAGGCGCAACACGTGTCATGCAAGGCGAAGTGGTACAGGATATGGACAAGCTGTACAAGGGCCGGCGTCGTGGAATTAAATTCAACATTGCCGAAGATGATATATCCGAAAAGAAAGATACCGTGTCCAACGTGAATGGCTCTGTGAAGTCATCAAGTCTCGGGCAAGGGAAGTGCGGCGGTTGTCATACCCCCTTCGAAGCCAACGGTATGTACCAGGCCATCCAAATTTGCCCGAATATCAGAACTAATCTTTTTTAAAAACATCCAGAACGTGAAACCCTCATCGGCTTTACTTGTGGCCATGTCTTCCATTTATCGCATTTGCATTCAGACGCATCACGCCCTCAATCTGATACAGGAAGCCCTGAACGACATGCAGACCGCACCCCTCGAGCCTCATCACCTGTCAATGAAGATTCCTCTGTAACTGCTTCTCGCATCGTCGGTCGCAAGGTGTTAACAGCACGTCTCCTGCGAGATAAGATTGGGGACGGTTGTCGGATTTGCGCTCTTACGAGGAAAATTGAATCCCTTGGCAGCGAGAGTGAGGTATAAGGTCCCTGTCATTGCACCGGAATCTTAGCATATCTGTCATACCATGAACCGGACCCCTCTGTCCACTATTTCCTTTTGAGATACCCACTCATCATTACCCATATCCCGTTGCACTAAAGCGCATGTTGTTACTACCCACGCAGCCATTTCTCCTGGCGCCATAGATGTGTCATAAGGTGTTTGTTGTGGTCACGCGTGATGCTACGTATAGATGGCCCCATACCAGCGCCTGTTTGTTAATCACCTATGTACCTCAACCTTGCAAATACAAATTCTAGCATCTGGAAACCTAGGAGCGTAGGGACGTATTGGTATTATCGTTTCTTCTATAGCAACTATGTGCGTTTTTTTCTCGAACACGCAAGATTGGCCACGTAATACTATGTCTCTACTTAACGGTAATTTGGTACACAAGGGCATATAAGTACAGCTATAAAAGTTGATTTTACTACTTTAAAATTATGCGCAGCATTAAACCAAGCATAAAATTCAGCCGTGACTACTAGTATGGCTGCACGATGGGGCGATTATTCAGTGGTCCACATTTAGGCTAGAGGCACGATTTCATTGGCTACAGGATACAAACTGTGGTGCGCTGATTCAACGCCGGCCCGATCCTTTACCTTACTTTGGTACTTCCGTAGTATGTGTCGTAACTCCATAGTTCCAGCGGTGGGGTTATCCGTTTGTCTGGTCTTTATCTCCCCTTCACACGGGCTCGACCTTGAAGCTCGGGGATGCATAAAGTCTATGCTGCACAGCTTGGCTTCCTTCATATTCTTTTTTTCCGCTCTTGTTTCTTCCTGTTAAACATATTTCTTACACTCGCTTGGTCCGCTTGGTCATCCTTTTTTTATATTTTCTTTTATTTTTAATCATCCGACACAGCTAACTGCCATTTTCGACCCCTTCTCCCTCGCCTACGATTTTTTCTCTCTTCACCTTCCTTCTACGAGCATGGCCAGCCTAAATGAGCAGAAACCTGACTCGAGCCCCTCAACTCTTAATGGGGCGGAGGAATCCCACGATCTTGAGAAACAACCATCTCAAACTGCAGCCACAGATCTTGCGAGAACACTCACCCAAACCATGGTGCCAGACCTTGAGCAGAATGTCTCCCGAACTACTGCCCCAGAAATCCAAGGACCAAAATTCCCCGAGACTGATCTGGACCAGGGTTTAGTCGGGTGGGATGGTCAGGATGACCCCGAAAATCCTCAAAACTTTGCTTCCAGCAAAAAGTGGGCTCTTCTTGCCTTGATCAGCGCCTTCACATTTCTTTCACCTCTTGCATCTAGCATGTTCTCACCTGCAGTTGTATTTATGGCCAAGGAATTCCATCAGACAAATGAGACTATTCTTGCCTTCACTGTCAGCATCTACCTAGTTGGATACGTGGTAAGTGACAAACTTGAAATTATCGGATCCCAGACAAGTTCTACAAGTACGGTCGTTCTAACTGTTCGAAATCTTATATATAGTTCGGTCCTCTGGTACTTGCCCCCCCTTAGCGAGATTTACGGTAGACGAGTGGTTCTCAGCGGCGCCAATTGGTTCTTCGTTGTCTGGCAAATCGGATGCGCTCTCGCCAAAAACATTGAAACGCTCATCGTGTGTCGACTATTTGCCGGTATTGGTGGATCTGCTTGTATTACACTTGGAGCTGGTGTTGTTGCAGACCTCTTCCCAATAGAAATGCGCGGAATGGCAACCTCCATTTGGAGTATGGGCCCACTGATTGGACCTGTAGTAGGCCCAATTGCTGGAGGATTCCTAGGCGAAGAGGTTAGCTGGCAATGGATCTTCTGGTTGCTGCTCATTGCAGGTGGTGCTATGCAGCTCGGTATCGAGCTGCTTAATAAAGAGATACGCCCCTGTTTTGATCAAATGGAAAACCGCAAAGCTGGCAAAGGAACTGGGTCGCACGGACTTGAAAAGCGCCTATGATGTTGATAGCGAGCCCCTCTCAGACAGCCAGCTTCTGAAGCGTAGTCTGATTCGACCGGCTCTGCTTCTTTTCAAATCGCCTATTGTGTTGCTTCTTTCAATCTACATGGTCAGTGGTTTTGCGCTCTTCTGTGATGCATTTATTCAGAGAACAAAATGGCTAATTCTGAAATTAGTCGCTCGTCTACGGTCTACTCTACCTCTTTTTCACGACCATCTCCGATGTCTTCACGAGTACGTATGGCTTTACTGTCGGATTATCCGGTCTCGCATACCTCGGCATTGGTGTTGGATTCTTTGGAGGTCTTGTCTTCATCGCCTTGACGAATGACCGCATTGTTCAGAAACTCACTGCCCAGAACAAGGGCAAGTTCGAGCCGGAAATGCGTCTTCCGACAATGATCATTTTTGCCTGCATCCTGCCTATTAGCTTTTTCTGGTATGGGTGGACCGCCGACAAACATGTCCACTGGATCGTGCCTATTATTGGGATGTTTCCCTTTGGTGTTGGCATGATGGGTGTCTTCATGCCCATCCAGACATATATCATTGACTGCTACCCGGCCTATGCAGCATCGGCCAACGCAACCTTGACAGCAACGCGATCGCTTGTTGGTGCATTCCTTCCACTCGCCGGCCCAGCCATGTTCGACAGCCTTGGCCTCGGCTGGGGAAACTCGCTGCTTGGATTCCTCGCACTTGCTTTTGTTCCAATTCCTATAATTTTCACTAAATATGGCAAGACAATCCGAGAGAAGTGGCCTGTTAACCTCTAAGGCGAAAAGGTTGACATAAAAACGTTATTGCATCGAGTTGGAATGCACAAGCATTATCAACCATGGAATTTGTCCATAGCTTATAGATTTCCCTAAATATAATATAGAATTAGCACGCTTTCACCCCCATTTTTCATAAAATTACTCTTCCTTCCGGCAGTACTACTACTACCATCCACCCTTACATGTTATCGCGGAAATGGAGTCGTCAACGTCCCATGTTAGCTACTTTTCCCCTCGTTATGGAGATAAGTCTAAGTCGCACTCCAGTTGTTGCCTCCTCCTCTTGCTCTTCAGATGGCACTTGTCTATCCACAGGTTGGAGAGAAGCTCTCAGATATGCGTACAGACGACGTCAAATTCGATGTGGACAACGAAAGGGCCATATGGAGAAAGCTGGTTTTAAACAGCATTTTCAAGACTGAGAGAGACCCCAGTTCCCATTAAGGGCAGACACATCTATTATATTAAATGTTTGAATTTTCAAGTACATCCATGGATGGTACCGGGAAAATATATTGTAACTTCACACTATGTTGAAAACAAGCGAACCAACATCAACGCCCACCATGAGGTTGGGGTGTTTATTTATAAACTCCTGCATAAGACCCCAACCTTCCTCTTTCATGAACGTTTCATAAAACGCAGGTTTAATGCGGATCTGATTGTCTTCGTCACGATCAAGAATCTTCACGCCCCACGGCCATCGGATCTTAACAGAACACGCCAAGAGTCCAAATAATTCATCCCGATTATTCTCATAGAGCGGCCATTGATGTACCAGATTTGATCTCAGTTTAGGATATGGAAGAGAGCTTATTGCGATGGGGTGCTCAATCTCAAATTGTTCCTGGAGGGGATGGGTGAATGTGGGCAGTTTTGCGAAAGTCTTTGGACTTGGTTCGATGATCCATTTCGAAAAGTGGTATATTATCAAACCCATTGCTAGTCTCTCTGGGTCACGAACCGGTCGTCTCTCGATGAAGGTATGGATCACGTTTGCTAACATGTTGGTCCTGCTACCATACAATATATCAAGTGGTGATTCTGGCGTATCGGGGCACTGAGCGATCATCTCTGGATATGCAAGCCACGGAAGGGATGAAGTCTCAATGCTGGAGAGATTGTCGGAGTAAAGAGGAAGCTCATTCCAAGGTGAGCTGGAATTTATCGAGTGGGCCGCCTTAGGGGTTTGCGGCAATGACGCCGGTGAAGTCGAGGGGGCCATTGAGCAAGCCAGATGATTCGCCATATCCAAGGAATTCGATCCTCCGGGCACGCAGCTTTCTCGTGGGAAAGAGTGTCCGGCTTGTTCAGTATTCGTATCTTGAGTCATTGGGGAGTTGGAAGGCCCCGTCTCTTCTAACTTCTCATCCCATGAATTGACTACCGATCTCAGGGCCTTTTGTCGTGCCACGAGAATTTCATTCTGCCTCCGAAGGCCGTCAATTACCCCAAGGAGATTTTTCACTCCAGTGTCATTGTGATATTGTTCACAGTGGGCCACTTGTGCCTCGAGTTTAGCTGTGTGGCGTAACTTCTTGTCGCGCAGGTTCTGCTGCGCACGACGATCCCGGTCACGCTTTTTATCAGCCGAAGACCGGTCTGACATTGATATACACCCCACGTCAATCTTGTCAACGAAATCGATCGTATTTTACTGGACCGGAGAAAGTGAGATGAAGTTTAATGACGTGGTGGTTGATGGATATATTGTGCTTCGGAATAATACATTGTCCGCTGCATAAAATTTGTACACCTCAAATCCCGGGCGATGGCAAAATTACTACTCGTAGTAGCGAAACTTGACATCTGCCATCATCCATGGATCCATGTTCCTACTACTACTACTACTAGTACTCCAGGGCTACTAGTAGTAATAGCCCAAGTAATCCCAAGGTTACATACTAGGTGTACACCATCACCAACTTTGAGGTGCTCAGGTAATATGTTCAATCTCATTTGAATAGGCACCGTGAAAATTACTAGTAACATATTGGATTCATATTCATGGAGAAACTTGTTTTTCATTACATCTCTCGATAAAGCCTATCCCCAGGCATTTGTAATAACTGATGAGCATACTAGGATGCAGTAGCCTGGCCATCGACATAAACAATAGCGGGGAGGTGTAGAGTATCATCACAAGGCATGTTGGATGCAGAGAGGACATATGCAATTACCAAGTGATCACATGCAACAATAAGAAATGCAGGGTAGCTAGTGTATGGCAACATCATTCATCAAGCCGAGAACAAAGATGCAGATAGAAGTTTAAGTATGAAACGCCGTGGATGCAGGGTGGGGTGAGGTGAGGAGAGCGGGTTGTCAGATCAGACAGATGTGCCAAGTGAACATATGGGGGTTGATCGCGACAAGGGCCGATTACAAAGGAGACAACACCAAGGTTGTGTGTGCAAATAATGGGATCGTAAGACATCATGAGGGGATTGAAAGGGAATAGGGGGATAATGGGATAAATGGACAAAGAATCGAAGGGGGAGCGTGAGAGCAGCTTGAGAGCACATCAAGGCCGCAACTCACCACCTAGTTGCAAGGCCAGGCCAGCATCTTTGGGGATTCTAGGGCTTGAGGTGCTGGGAGGCACGAGAGCATCGAAATTCAGTCGTTTGCGAGCATCCTTGGTAGACAAGGGAGTTCGACCAGGGTTGCCAGGTGTACGGCCACCCCATGCTGGCTGGGCTGGACTTGGGGTCACATTCACGAAATCGGCAAAGTTGAATTGTTGACCAGGAGTTCCGAGACCCGGGGTCAACGACGGCAGGGCAGCGTGTTGGCTGGGAGGAGTTGAAGGCGGGAAGGCTTGGTTTTGCGACCCCCCCTGCGACACGAGCTGGTGTTGGAGAGTTTGCGAGGTAGAGCAGTAAATCGGCACCATCCTCATGCTGTGCTGTCCGATCATTGCGTGGCAGGCGGGCATGCTTGGGAGGCGGGGTTCGCGGAGGCGAGGAGCCTACCATGGAGCTCACATTCTGAAAGCTATGCAAAGGGAGATCGGGGTCGTTCTCCTCGTCAGATGGGCCATGGTATACTGGAGATGACAGCTCAGGAATGGGAGCCTCGGACATGAAGGGCACATGAGTCTGTCGGGATGTGAGGTGTCGGTTGAGACCTGGGGAGGATTCGGGAAGCTGGTATGATCTTTTCCAAGAGACTCGTGGAACCTTTGCTGGTCGTTCTGCGCCTGAATCAGATCGCAATCGCTTGCGGCTGGCAGACAGCATGGGCTGCATAACCCTGGAATTGAAAGTCACGGCATGCTTGTTGCGAGCCGACCGAGGAAGTTCCTTGGAGTAGGTAGCGGCTTGGAGGGGAGGCGAGGTGAAGGGAGTCTCGCAACGGCTGCGTGAGAAGTCGGAGGAGGAATCGGAGGGTTTGTCACTGTCCAAGGGAGAGACGGAGTTCAGACCATGAAGCCGGCCATGTTGGTACTTGAGTTTTGCTAGACCCAACCGATCCTGCAAACTCAGGGACACCTGAAATGAGTAGATTCTTGGTCAGCCCAGTTTTCTCACAGGAGGTCCTTGGCAGGATATCCGCAGTCTTGGAAGTCCCTTTTGGTGCCTGCGTTGACATATGCACCTTATTGGGGGGGGGGGGAGGGTGGGAAGTTCCAATGCCTATGATGGGGTTGTGAAGGGATCTCTCAGGGAAATACTAATACTGACTTGGGCAATATCAATTTTGCGAATGGTCTTTTCCGCCGAACCTGGCTGTGACATCGTCATGATGGATAATAGCAAAGGGAAGAGAAAGGCCAACGGAAGGAGTGTCGAAGGCCTTTGCGGGTTCAAGTTGCAGTTGCAGTTGCAGTAAGGGCGGCTGGGAAAGAGAGAGGAGAGGTCCGATGTCCGATGTTCAATGTTGAATGGCCAATGGATGAGCGGAGATGGAATCCACTTGGGGGGGAGGGAGCCAACGATCGGACAAATGAGAATTGACGAAATAGCAAAAGGTACAGTACGAGTAGAAAATTAGAAAAATTAAAAGAATAAAGAATAAAGAATAAAGATCAAAAAATAAGGTGGAATGCTAGAGGTTATATCTGGAGGTACAGTAGAAGTGATGTTCTCCATGGCCTTTGTGCGTTGGCCGTAAAACGCGTGCCGCGTTTCCATTTTTCTTCCCGACGCGCTTTTCGTGTTTGGTCAGCAGCCTAAGCCAACTCATGATCTCCAGGTACTCCGTACTCTGCAGGGGAAACAGACTACCCAGAACAGAATCCAGGATGAAAAATTGATCTGTCAAGTGGCTCCATCTCCAGCTCTTGGTGGTCCCCACTCGACTCCTTCAGCTAGAGCCGTGTTTGTTCAAGATTTGCTGTTTGAGAATTCCAGTGGGACCAGGGGGACCGTCGCCAGGGGGGGCATCTCTGGCATCTCTGGCATACCAAATGAGATTCCCGATACCAGAGCGATATGGGCACCGACATCGATGACATCGACAACATCGATGACATCGAGGGTCCTGGAGAGAGATGAACGTTGCTCGATCCGGCATGCTGGCGATTGCCGTTATCGTCAATGAGGCGTTGCACGGACCTATCACGAGGTCTCATGCCTCATGCCTCATGCCTCATGTCTTCTTTGCAGGTGGTGTTTATTGGGGATGGCGGGGGAGCAATGCCATACAAAAATAAAAATATAAAATATAAAATATAAAATATAAAAAACCTTCCGGTGTTGAGGATAATGGCCGATTCCAGCCATCCAGCCCTAAAGCTGACCAGGAACCAGAACAGCCTCACCCGTGGGGTCGGCATTTCCGGTCAGACAAGATGACGGGGAGCCAATGGTCAGGAGTTACCCGATATTCCAAGATTAGCCCGCCTCTCCTAAAGAGCCAAGTTTCCCGACCCATGCGATGCGATGCGATGCGATGCGATGCACAGATCGCGTGTCCTGCAGACCAATGCGAGCCGGAGCCTTTCAGTCGTGCAGACCCACCATGGAGAGATAGCAGAGCAGAGCATAGAGGGGGATGTCAGGCTAATCCCACTACGTCGGGGACAGGGGCGCAGTCAATCGCAAGTGTGGTTTGAAGAAGGGCCGACGGTGCAAAAATGCAGCATACGGATGCAGAGTTTGACCTGGAATATGCTCTGGAATACGGAGTACTAGTACTCGTACTTCGTACTCTCTGATGCTCTGAGGGGAGAGGAAGGTTGGCGATACGCCATGCAACAAGCAGCCTAGCTTGTGTACCCGCTTCTTTTTTTTCCGCATGCTTACTGGTACTCATCGTGCCGGTATAGTTTGTCATATTGATCTTTATTGTACTCGTGGTATTGACGGAGGACGGAGTACTCCGTCAATAGTGATCCGTGAGTTGAACTGAGATATTGCCAACACCATAGGTACTACTAGTACTAAAATAACACCTGCCTCCATACGGAGTACTCGTACTTCAAGTTGAAGTATGCTCAGGGGGAAGAGTTCAAAGCAGGGAATTGGGCTTGGTATGCGGTTAGCCCAGACACTAGATCTTGAGCTAGCAGTCTTAGGGCGATCATGGGGAGATCCACCGGTGAAACATTGCGACTCCTAGGAGAGTCAGAGGCGTCGTTGTCTCGCAGAGGGGGTACGTAATACTGGAAAAGACGTTGAGAGTGCGAGGAGTGGCCAAAGACGGCCAAGGTGGCCCGCTAAAATTATATCCCAACCTAAGGATGTCTTGGATGAGAGCAGCTCGTACGGAGTAGATGGGTGAATTGCTGTTCAACTTCTTCCCCTCCCCCCCTAATCCATCCCTACTACCCCAGCATACCCATTGCCATTGCCATTGTCTTGGTCTTTTTCTTATTTTCTTATATTTTTGGGGTTTTCTCTCCCCCTGTTCCTGGTTCTTGCGGGGCCACTCCAGTGCCACTCCAGTGCCACTCCAGTGCCACTCCAGTGCGGCCTCGTCACCCGCACGCCGCACACGCCGCAAACGGTCGCGCTCTCCTTGTTCCTGAGCTGAGTTGAGTCTAGCAACTCCTCTGTTTCACTTTTTTTTCACACCCTCTTCCACTTCACTCTCACTCTCACATACCTAGTCGCATCCAAGGCCTGGTTCTTCTGCCGGCGAGAAGTTCCTGGCCTCATCTATCCCGATGCCTTTCTTCAAGCAGCTTCGTCGCCGGTCCAAGGCTAGCTTCAATGCTACCGACTCCAAGTCCCCTTCGACCAAGGTGGAAATGGTCTCGGGAAAATCCTCCTCCACGATCGACACTTCTTCCCACAGCTCCATCACTCCCCCATCGTCGATCAAACCGACCCTTTCCTCCCCGAATCTCCCTTCTCTCTCCGAATCAAATGGTACAGGTACCAGCATCGCCAGTACAACCAGCACACCCCTCCCTGCTCCCCCGCAACGGCCGGGCCCTTTGGTAACAACCCCGTCACAACGGAACAGCGTGGTGGTAGGTGTTCCCCATCTCTTTTTGTCTTTTTGCTTATTTCTCTTTTAACCCTATCACTAACCTATCCTTCTACAAACAGGGAAGCTCCTCTTCCTCCATCAATGGCATCTTTCGGACGCCCGCCCCGAGCTCGCCCTATGCTCCAAGGATTGTCTCAATCTCTGATAACAACTGGGTAAGCGCTGATGCTGGGAACGAATAGTGACAAACCGCCGGTCGCTGACACCAGCTCTCTCAGGTCCATCAAAAAGTTCTCCTCATCTATGGCCAGGTCGGCGACCCGCGTCAACACCCGCTGGACGGCAATTTGACAGTCTTCCATCACCAAGATAACTTCCCGTCGATCGGCTGGCCCGTCACGGCATCCCACTTTAAAGCTCTCGTTCATTTGGTTCCCGGCCCCAATCGCCTTCGCTTCGACTTCGTTTCTCCCAAACTATCGACAGGAAGCACCCACCCCGCTGTGCACTCTACATGGATCAATATCAACTACTTGCCGTTGGTCAACTCCCCGCCTCTGCATTTGGTGATCCTACTTGGCAAGGACTCCGATGGTACCTACGATGCCGTACCGGAAAGACAAGAGCGGGAAGGTAATGGTCTCGAAACGGCCATTCGAAAATACCGAACAGCTGCATACCTCTGGCAGGCTTTCACTGGAGAGCAAATGTATCGCAACAACCTCGGCCGGCGCTGCTTTCGATTTGAGGAGGAGTGGCAACCAGGAAGTCTCAGTCGCCGAGATTTGCCCGCTGGCCAGATGCGAAACGAAGCCAAGATCCACGTTATTCGCTCCAACAAGACCGTCGCCGAGCTAAGAGATCTCGAGATTGCTCAGCAAAACCAAAACGCCAAGAACAGAGACGAGCTCTTCAACATTGCGAAAGACGCTGTGCGCAGTCATTTTAACACACATTCCGGACAGAAGCAATACGTGTCTGTCCTGCTTCTCGACTCTCATTGGGATACCGGTGCACAAACTATCACCGGCCATGCTGCTCTCGGCTCGGGCGACGACGACATCAAAATGGCCATTTTTGGGTCACACTGCCTGCAAAGCTACCCGTCATGCTTGGATGAGGTAGTGGATGCATTTTCAGACTGCACGCGAACAGATACCAACTACGTGGCCAACGATAGCGGGGAGGCTGGCTCTAACTGGGAGTCCGCCAACCTGGGAATTGGAGCTCATCTCCACGAGGTCGGTCACCTTTTTGGTTGCCCTCATCAAGAAAGCGGTATCATGTTGCGCGATTACGTGCAACTCAACCGATCCTTCTTGACAAAAGAGCCATTCTCAACCCGTACAAAGGCGCAAGGCCTGAAGATCTGTTTGCCGAATGACGAATGTGGATGGCATCGCTTGGATGCGCTGCGTTTTCGATTCCACCCGGCGTTCCGTATGCCAAACGATGCCCCAGTCAGCTCGGATGATAGCGTTCAAGTATGGCCAGTGGAAAATGGCAAAATATTATTCACTGCGTCATCAGGAATCGCGTTCATGGAACTGTACAAGGAGGGGGATGATTTCTGTCACGACTTCATCGAGTACCTCAACACCGAAAACAGCAGCAACGGACTACCGAAACAAATTACCATTACTGAAAGCGAGCTCCGCCAAAAGGTCTTCGGAAACGAGAAGGAGAAGAAAAAGAAGATCCGATTGGTGGTCTACTCCGGTGCATTGGGCAGTTACACTGTTGAAGACGTTGGTCTTTTAAAGTCCAAGAGCTATCTTGTCAAGCTCCCAAAGAGCCAGACTGGCTACAAAAGTGGAATTCTGGGCCAGTCAAACATGGAAGGCAGCGAGCCCGAGCAGCTTCTTCTCGAGTCAGCCTTTGTCATGTCGAAACTGCTGACGTCCATCAAAGTATACCACGGTTCGGCCCTGGATGGTATTGAGTTCTGCTATGAGGACATGACCAGCCAGCTCTTTGGCAAACGTGGTGGCAAGCCTGGCGGGGATGAGTTTGTTCTGGATGTTCGACGTGGGGAGATTCTACTTGGGTTTTACGTCCGAGCTGGACTTTGGATCGATGGAATCGAAATTCTCACCAGTCATGGGAGAAAATCTGGTCTCTATGGAAACGCCACGGGCGGAGCAGGGTAGGTCTTTTCAAGTCATGCGCCGTCACCAATCTGAATGCGGATACTAACTTCTTACTCACCTAGACACACATTGATACCGCCTTTGGGATATAAGATTGCTGGTGTCTCTGGATCCTCCGGTCCTTGGGTAGACGGATTTTCTCTCATCATTCAGCACTGAAGACTGCCCCCGGGCATCACACAGCTAGTTCCTCCGAACTTCAAGAAGGAACGCCA